TAATGTATGTTGTATTATAACCGGATTTCCCTCCTATATAAAGGGAATTCACACCACCTTGTAAGGGGCGACTATGGCTCCAACTATTCTACACAAGATAAATAATATCTCTTTCTCTCTTTTTTCTCTCTAATTTGCTCGCCCTTACTCGCTCGAGGCCACTCTCAACATTTATTTTTTTCATACTTGTTCTTTATTTATTGCTTGGCATTGGCCATAAAGAGCCTTCTATGATTATATTCTAATGGTTATCCCTTCCCCGGCTACCCTCGATAGCTCGAGCTCGAGCCGAATATCGACCTCGAGGCCCCTTATCAACCAGTCTGAAGCCTGGGCGGCAAGCCCCTCGGTTTGATTACTGTCTCGTTTTAGCTTGTCTCTTCGTTAAACTTCATACTCCTAGCATCAACTGCTCTAACAACTAGCATAAAAATAGATCACGTATTTTTAGAGCCTCATTAACAAATTTAATTGTTGTTACCATTTTCACGGTAAACACACCCATTCTGAACTACGGTATGACTTGATCCTCTTCACCGAGGTACGTATGTAGCTTAGAGTTTCATTCTGGGTTCAGTCGCATAAGTTCAAAAGATACATAATCCCCAATCATTGTCCGAATGAAGTACGATGGAGTGTAATTCATTCAATCAGCATTTGAAAATCGATCTAAGATACCATTCTTTTGCTAAACTTTGGATCCCATTTGATTTAAAGGGGACATCCGCTATGGTAAATTAGCGTCTTCAATAAAATTATTAATATCTTTTAGGAGGCTTACAAACATTTGCATTGAAGTACGGGGATTCGTTATGCCTTCATGTTCGTCAAACCTTCAAGTTTTTGGTGTACCGTCACGACGCTTCAAATTCAGTGAGACTTGAACCCAAGATGTCTGGCGAGAATGAAGCTATTGAATTTCAATTTCTGACAATTAAAAAGGTCCTAAAATCTCGAGGCTTTCATACCAAGATACAAAAATTTTGGTGAAGTCGCACTAATTTGGAACTATCGGCATATCAGAAATCAAAGTTGACTTCGAAATATTATCTGAATGTATCCTTAAGGAAATAAATCTTGCATTTTGGATATGTTATAGATTTGGAAATTAAGTTTCCATTAGATTAAACGGTTTGTGATTTCGACGTTCCTATAGCAAAATACAAAACTTTTGGCAAAATCGCGCAAATTTGAAATCGTCAGTGTGTCAGAATTTAATATTGACTTCGAAATATTATCTGAAACTATCCTTAAGGCATTAAATTTTGCATTTTGGATATGTTATATATTGGGAAGTTATGTTACCAATAGATCAAACGGTTCGGGATTTCGACGTTCCTAATTCAAGATACAAAACTTTGGCGATGTCGCGCAAACATGAAATTGTCGATGTGTCAGAATTTAGTATTAACTTCGAAATATTATCTGAATGTATCCTTTGTGCAATAAATCTTCACATTCACCACTCTTCAAGTTGAAATATTTAAGCCCTCCAAGTTGAAGTTTCCAAGTCTGTCAGTCTTCAAGTTTCAGTCTTCAAATTCGTCGGTCTTAAAGTCTATTTAAACCTTCAAGTTGAAGTCTTCAAGTTGAGGTCCTCAAACTCATAGGTCTTCAAGTGGAACTATTTGAGCCCTCAAATTTTTCAGATTGAAACGTCAAAGTCCGCCGAATCTTCAATTTTGTAGGTCTTCAAGTTGAAATGTGCAAAGTCTGCCAAATCTTCAAAGTTTTTCAAGTGTTCAAGTCGACGTCATCAAGTACATGAAGTCTTCGAGTTGAAGCTTTATAACTTTTTAATCTTAAGGTGGACATATAAGTTCCTTTACACCTTAAGTTGGCATCTTCGTGGGTTTGTCCTTAAAAGTAAACTATAACTTTTCAATCTTAAGGTGGACATATAAGTCCCTTTGCACCTTAAGTTGGCCTCTTTGTAAGTTTTTCTTAAAAGAAACTATAACTGTCCAATCTTAAGGTGGACATATAAGTCCCTTTGCACCTTAAGTTGGCCTCTTTGTAAGTTTTTTCTTAAAAGAAACTATAACTGTCCAATCTTAAGGTGGACATATGAGTCCCTTTACACCTTAAGTTGGCCTCTCCGATAGTCGGGTCATTTTGAGAGTAATCTCTCCGGTAGGTGGACCACATTGAGAGTAATCTCTCTTGTAGTCGGGTCATTTTAAGAGTAATTTGTCCGATAGTTGGGCCACATTGAGAGTAATCTCTCTGGTAGTCGGGCCATATTGAGAGTAATCTCTCCGGTAGTCAAGCCATATTGAGAATAATCACTCCGTAATCGGGTCATTTTGAGAGTAATCTCTCTAGTAGTCAGGTCACATTGAGAGTAATCTCTCCGATAGTCAGGCCACATTAAGAGTAATCTCTCCGGTAGTCGGGCCATGAGAGTAATCTCTCCGATATTCGGGCAGGGATGAGTACTCATCCCCTCACACCCTAAGATTGTCTTCTTCATGTATGGATCATCTCGTTAAACAAGGACGCATCCTTCTTGTTTCACCTTCAAAAAAGGACAATAAAATATAGAAAGCACAAAAAAAGAAGAAGAAATTACATTCGCGTCAATGCTTCCAAGTTGTCAAAAGTAGACTCAAAGTGATTTGCAAACGCCGAAAGTGATGCTTATAGAGTAAAGAGTATATTGTATTTATAGATGTCAAAAGGTGATTGTTGAAAGTGAAGTGTCGATGTGGGATCAGGTATATAAGGAGGCTGCTGCAATTGTTTTCCGTATAGGATTCGTTTAATCACGGCGGAAACAATGAATCCAAGAGAAACTTGAATTGTTGTAGGAATTGCCAACTTACTAGGAAATTACGTCTAGTTATGATAATAAGAAAAGGCTTCCTTTTCCCAATAGGGAATGTATATCAGGCAGCGATAACGATTTCACAATGAAATCAAATTTCAATGCTTTTGTCTTATTCTTATTCCAAGCAAATGGTCATTATATTGATTAAGTAATTGCTTGGACAATCATATGTGCTCTACAATGGTCTAAGCCAAATTTGACTAGTACTTCATTACCCATTTTTGATTTTGACACAGTCTATACCTCAATAAGTCTTGAAGTATGAGGCATTTGTAGGTAATTAAAATTTTATTGAATTTAATTTTATAAGAAGTTTGAAATTAATTTCAAATAAAATATATTTTGAATCTAAATAAATATTATGGGCTAATATAATTGAATTCATTATATAAGTCCAATATATATAAATTAAATAAATAAGTCTTAATTCATTGGGTTAGCCCATTTAATTGGGCTAAAGTGATGGTCAAAATTACACGGGGCGCCCTATTTGGTCGCCCCTATTTAACTTATACCCATTTTTTTAAAAAGTTTTAACTTGTACCCACTTTTTAAAATAATTTCAGCCTCATTTCTCCTCCTTCTCCTCCTCCTCCTTCTTCTTCTTCTTCTCCTTCTTCTTCTTCTTCCTTTTCTTCTTCTTCTTCTTCTTCTTTCTTCTGCTGTTGGTGCTGCTATGAAACTTCATTTCATGGAATGATTGTCATAAGTATGTTTATCAAATTATTTAAAAACAAATTATAAATAATTACGTAAGTTAGTAGACAATAACTTAAGAAAATTACGTCCTACTATGCTGCTACTTTTCTTAATTTCTTTTGAAAAATAAACCAACATTGAGTCAAATATTCTCTTATAGTGACGGAACGACATTCATTATTGGTAAAGATATACGTTCAGATCCCAAGGTTGCTCGTAGACATGTATGGATCGTTCTTCCGGTATAATGAACCAAGTTCCCTTTTCCTATCAATGAATTTACTTACATGTCGTCTGTGTCTTCTCAATGCAGATTGGATATTGTCCTCAGTTTGATGCTTTACTAGAAATTAAAAAACTTCAGCTTATATAGTGCTGAAGTTTTTACAAATGAACTAAATAACTTCAGCATCTCTGCTGAAGTTTTTGAAAAAGCTTATCTAAGATAAAAAAAAAACTTCAGCTTATTTAGTGCTGAAGCTTTTATAAATGAACTAAATAACTTCAGCATCTTCTGCTGAAGTTTTTGAAAAAGATTAATGACAAAACTAATGAATCCAGGACAAAAAAACTTCAGCTACTATGCTTAAGTTCAGCAATTACAAACAAAAATTTCAGCAAATAGGTAACAAAACTTCAGCTACTATGCTTAAGTTCAGCAATTACAAACAAAAACTTCAGCACACTTGCTACTTCAGGCCCGTCTACTAGAATGCTGAAGTTTTGCGTGATTACCTTTGCTACTTCAGCCTCGTATGCTGAAGTTACGCGAAAAAGTGGGTACGCTTGCAATTTTTTTTACAAAGCGGGCACAAGTTAAAACGTGACCCTAAAAGCGAGTATAGATGCAAATCCCCCAAAGTGATGAGCCCATTTCATTAAGCCCAATATGTCATTTTCCTAGAGACCCAGTTTGGTGCCACGTATCAAATGACCTGGCACGCCAAGTCAAGAGAAAGAGTCAATAGGATCATGTCACGTATCAAAATGACAAGGCATACCAAGTCACATTAAAAGACTAATGAAATCGCATCACGTGTGCAAGTGACATGTTCTGGCCAATCAAATGTGGTCATGTCATACTTTAATTTGATTGGTCAGAAAGAGTTTGTTCTTATCACAACTCTTCTCTTCCACAACTATAAATAGGGGTCTTTATAACTCAGATAAGACACGAGAAGCTATAACAAAAAGCAATAGAGAGTTCGTGGATCAAACGCCGCAAATTTCTCAACAAGTTTCAAGCTTCAAGAAATTAAGTTCAAGCTCAAGAACGAAGAACAAAAATCAAGTTCAAGCTCAAGAACGAAGGACAAATCAAAATCAAGTTCAAGCAATCAAGCTAAAGCTCAAGAACAAGATCATCGTTCGTAGCAACAACTACATATTCAAAATCAAGCTCAAAGACCCTTGAATTTATTTACAATTGGAAAGAAGAATCAGAGGATTTATAGAGATTGTGACACTCAAATATTCAAAATAAAATACTACGATTGTTACGATATTTTTCAATCTTGATTTTATTTTCTCGACGCAAATTTATTGTCTACAATATTAATGGATATAAAGTACCTCCCAGGACCAGAGTACTAATCAATTCGTGGGCACTCGGAAGAGATCCAGAAAGTTGGCATGACCCTGAGAGTTTTATACAAGAGAGATTTGAAAATTCTTCTGTTGACTTTATTGGAAATCACTTTCAGCTTATTCCATTTGATGCAGGAAAAAGAATTTGTCCAAGAATGTAATTTGGTTCAGCTAATGTTAAACATCCTTTGGCTCGGCTCCTCTACCACTTTAACTGGGCGCTTCCATATGGAATTAGTCCAGAAGATCTAATTGAAAAGGATGGATTAAGTGCAGCGAAAGAAAAAGATCTGTGCTTGATTGCCTTAGGTTACAAAAGTGACGAAATTTTTTGATATTGTGGTTTAAATGGTGAATGTTCATACCGTATATGGTGCTTCACCTCCTTTAGTTTGGTATATATTCGTGTCTCCCATTTATCATTGAAGTTTAACCTGAAAATGAGCAAAGAACAAGATTCACAGTTGGTTGTACAATCTTGGTTCAGAAGGTCGGACCAAAGAATCCGGTCCACCGTTTTGTGTAGTAAGTAATAATATGATCACATTTTGTTTCTCTTTTTGAAACCGATTAAGCAATTAACATGTAACTTCCTATCAGATTATTCCTATCATGAGATCAACAATAGTAATATAGTTTTAACATGAATAAAGATCTATGTGTGAGCTTGATCCGCGCAGGGCCTTGCTAGGACTTTACATGATGGTGAATTATATCTAACCAAGTCAACCAAAAGTGAAAATTTATGCTTTAATTTGGCAACCCAATACCAACTAGCAGAGTCCATTTCAAGATTATTAAGATACTTTGAACAAAATGGTAGAACTATAACTTCTTATTCAGATATGGTGGCTGTAAATTGACCTATATCAAAAATTACCAGATTGATCCAGATTTCTGCATTAAATATTTCAAGCTCCAAATTGGAGCAGCAGACAAACTTGCGATTACTGTTATTCCTCTATAAAAGAAGATAAATTTTGCTTGGTACCGAAGAATAATTCGAAAAGCCACACCCACATCGCCTATCCACTGTTTCTTATAGATCGATAATATAAAAATTCAAGCAGATATGCGCACCAGTGACCCAGAATTTTTAGGCATTGGTGAAATTTTCATCAATTCGACACAGAAACAACACTAGATCTGAGAAATATCAATAATTAACGACGAATTTCGGCAGGAAAACTAAGATTACTTGGTGATGATGAGGGAGAGAGGTTTGCTCTATTATGCGGCGGTAGAGGGAATATTTTGCCGCGAAATAAATTGGAGGGAGAATAAATTCTCGAAATAAATTGGAGGGAAAATTTTAATTCCCTTTTACCGACTTTTATTGACCAATGCTTTGAATTGCCAGTAAGAGGAGCATTCTTTCCCGGCAACTTCTCAAATGCCGCCAATATTTGTGCGCTGCAATTGGTTTTATTGCCATGGTTTTATCAGTGATGTATTATATTGTATTGTTATTTTAAATATAATATTTATTTTGATTATTACTTAAATTTTATTGTATTTATCATTAAATTTATTGTTACATAACGACGAAAAGTGTCACATTATAAAACGATCGATTTGGTGTAGTCGCTTCATTACCTTATTTTTTTTCTCATCTCGCCCTTCCTTATTATTAAATAATCTTATTTTATCCTTTACCTTATCTTTTTATATAATAATTCTACCTCACGCTTTACTTTTTTTATATAGTATTTCAAATTTATTCTTAATATTGTTTGGTGCATGATATCACGAAATGACAACAAACAATATAATCTATCCAAATATATATACATTAAAATAATACAGTACAATATAATATTATATAATACATTATGAAATGATACCTAACAACCGGCCAAACAAACTGTTAATAAGAAGATAGAAAAGAGCATTTAAAGAACAACCTCATAATTGTTTTTTGTACAAAGATAAGCATCACATTTTTTTATAAAAATACTTCCTATAAAATCGTTGTTTATTTTCAAAAAGAAAAGTTCCTAGTAATGTATCATAAATCAAATTTTCACATGCAGCGCAACAGGAGCAGCTTGAAAGGAGGAAAAAAGAGGGGGCCCAGTTAACAAGAGATCTGCGCCTCATTTTCTTTGAATATTCAGAAGCAGCCACCAGTGGAAGTGTCGATATAATTTTCTTTGTAGATGGAATTGCCAAATTTAATTTAACAAATATTTCCGTCATCATCCGTGCAAGTGTCCATATAATTTTCTTTGTACGTGGAGTTGCCAGTTTGAATTTAACAAGTTTACATCACCAGCAGTGAAAGTGTCCGTATCATTTGCAACTTGATGTTAGTCTTTTTTTCGTTGTTGTAAAAAATAAATATTTTTAACCTTAGAGAAGCTTGACCGAGCAAGTTATAATCTTTAATTGATATTCAGTTCATAGAAAGTTTTTGACTCAAATAGTCTTTTGAATTTGGAGATAGTTTTATTTTCATTCCTATTTGATAGGTTATATATCTATCTCTGTTATGTTTTGATGATTTAACAAATTTACTGTTAAGAACCAGATAAGGAACCTGATACACATCTTCAAGAACTTAAAAATCAACAAGTCTACAGTTGGAAACACAGTTCAACTCTTCAGAGCCAAAGGAACAGCAGAGGGAACAGATAGCTACCAGTTCTCGAGGTGATTGTGTAAGTCAACTGCCCCAGTTGTAAAGTTTGATGCCTGCACACGCTACACTACAGAAACAGTGCAACACTCAACTTTATGGGGAATGCCTTTTACCTAACTTGCTTACATCATTCAAAGTGATGTCACAAATGAATTATTAACATCAAGCAAGGTAAAAACAAATCACTTGCACATTCAAGAATTGATCAAGCACTCTCGCAAATTATCCATTAATCTTGCAAGTAACTTTTAAGGGCATCGAGAATAAAGAACAACATAACAACGGACCAGTTCCCTGTATCAAGTTATTACATATCCTTAGTTGTGTTGTACCTTTGTTAAAGCACTCTACTTGTAATTCCTACTTAGCTTAGTTAGAAGTATTGTGTCGGAAATCTTTGTAAATCATAAACCCTTGTGTTTGTGTTTTGGCTAGAGTTAGTCAAGTTGTAAAGTCTTGGTAATAGAGTTATTACAAAGTAGCTTGTAATAGTGTTGTTACAAGTTAGTGAGAGATTAAGGGGTTAATTCCTAGGTTACAATAGTTTGTAATCTAAAGTTTACTCAGTAGTGAAGTTAAAATCCTACAAGGGTAGGTCGTGGTTTTTGATCTCGTGAGCTTGGAGTTTTTCATGTAAAATTCCATTGTGTCATTTACTTATTACAGTGTGCGTGTGGGAATACATAGAGAACCTGGTTCTCTATATAGTTTGATAGACCCTTAATTTCTATCAATTGGTACCAGGACGGGTTCTTTCTATCAGGTTAATACCTAGAAAGGATCCTCATGGATGCTCCGCCAAACTTCGAAGAAGGCCAGTCTACTAACAGACCACCAAGGTTCAACGACCAATATTATGGATAGTCGAAGACTAGGATGCACGACTTTATCATGGCTGAAGATTCTGAGCTATATGATGGACCCTTTGTTCCTACCAAAATTGTTGGTGACCCAGCTGTAACCATTTCCAAGACGAGGAAAGAATTCAATGACGCTAATCGAAAGGCCATAGAAAAGAATTTTCGTGCAAAGAAAATTCTTGTTTGTGGCATTGATCCTGATGAATATAACAGGATATCGGCATGCCAATCAACAAAAGAAATCTGGGAAGCCCTTCAGACGGCCCATGAAGGAATAACACAGGTCAAGCAATCAAAGATTGATATGCTTACAACTTAATACGAGCTTTTTAGGATGAAAGATGATGAATCCATCCAAGATATGCACACTCATTTCACATCTATCATCAATGAGCTTCACTCTCTTGGAGAAATCATTCCAAGAAACAAACTTGTCAGAATAATACTCAGTGTCCTGCCCAGCTCCTGGGAAAGCAAAGTGAACGTTATCACAGAGGCGAAGGACTTGCAGAAGCTAATCATTGATGAGCTTGTCGGTAATCTGAAAACATATAAAATGAAGAAGAAGAAGGACAATGAAAGAAGAGAGCCCAAAAGGGAGAAGAACCTGGTCTTCAAGACAAACAGTAATAATTCAAGTGGTGAGGATGGTGATATAGATTACTTGACAAGAAGATTCCAGAAAATGGTTCGCAGGAATGGAGGCATTCCAAAAAGGGGGAGTTCTAGCAAGCCAAAAAATTATGACCTCTGTCATAAATGTGGCAAGCCAGGACACTTCATCAAGGATTGTCCTCTCCTAAAGCAAGATCAGTACAAAAACAACTTTGACAAAGCAGCCAAGAGGAACCCAGTTCCTGATAAACGTTTCAAGAGAAAGAATATCGCTGACAACATTATGAAGCAAGCTCTTGCTGCATGGGGAGACTCCTCTAGCAAATTTGAAGAAGAAAATGATCATGGTGATAGTTCAATGATGGCAGTAGAAAGTGAAGCAACTGAGTATGACTCAATCTTTGCCTTGATGGCTCAGTCTGATGATGAGGAGGTAAATTTTCTGGATGTTCAGAGAAATCTGAAATCTTATTTTCCTAAAAAACTCGTGTCTTTGGCAAGTGTGTTAATTGTTGCTTATCACAGTCTTATAAATAATAAAGATGCTTTAATTGTTGAATTAGGAGAAGCAAAATAGTCTAGAGATGACCTAGTAGTCGTTGCGGTTAACAATTGAGAACCTGAAGAAAGAGAAGGATGCCTTAGATGAAAAACTTACAAATATAGAACGTGAAAGAGATGATCTAATGGTTTTGTGGTAGACCTAAAAAAGACCATTGAGTGTGTAAGAAAGGAAAAAGAAATCCTAACTGAGAGAGTTGCTAACATTGAGCATGAGAGAGATGACCTATTAGTGGTGGTAGTGGACCTAAAGGAAATACTTGGGGAACTTAAAATGGAGAGTAGGCCTGAAAATCCTCAAAAGGGAAAGGTAGTTGCAAGTGAGGCACACATTAAGCTTGAAAGTGAGTTAAATTTAGTGAAGTCGAGTCTATGTGTTGAGCTTGAGAAAAACAAACAAATTCAGGAAGAACTAGGAAGAGTGAAGAGTGATCTTGAAAAATCACGTAAGTGGACTTGTTCCTCTAATGCTATCACTGTCATGTACATAACAATGGGGGAAATAGGCAGGGAATTGGGTTCCAAAGGAAAAGACTCCCTACAACCCTCATAGCAAGTACGTTACTGTACCTGACAATTGGCTTTGCACTCACTGTGGCAATACTGGGAACTTTAAGAAAACTGTAAGGCTAGATTTCAGTCACAACAGAAAAACAAAGTTTTTGCTGAAAAAGTAACTACTGGTAGAGAACCTGGTCCTTCATATAAAAAACGCATGATGTCTGCTTGGATCAGAAGATCACTCATTCACCCCTTTCCTCATTACAAGGGACCTAATTGGGTCCCTAAGTCTAACTCCTGATTTTCTTGTGCAAAGAACAGTGAAAGGGAGTAGCCTACAATGTTACATGGACTAGAAGTACAAATGATGTCCTTTCGCTTAAGGCCTTGCAAGGAGGGAGTGTATCCTTTGGAAATGGAAAGAAAGGATACATTCTAGAAGTTGGAAGGATTGGAAAGTCTCTCTCTCACTCAATCGAAAATGTGTACTATGTGAAAGGGTTGAAGTACAACTTGCTAAGTGTTTCCCATATCTGTGACAAGGGAAACAAGGTGGAATTTGTGTCAAAAATATGTACATTCACAAACCTAGTAACTGGTGAGGTGGTTCTAGTGGCAAAAAGATACAAAAATATCTATGTTGCTGATTTTGAATCTCTGCAGAATGGTGATCTCAGCTATTTAAGTGATGTTGATGATGATGCTGAATTATGGCACTGGAGGCTGGGTCATGCAAGCTTCACGTTGTTGCACAAATTGGTCAGGAAGGAACTAATTCGTGGTATGCCCAAGTCAAGCTTCAAGGACCACAAAGTGTGTGATGCATGTGTAACAGGGAAACAAGTCAGATCCTTATTCAAGCCCAAAAAGGAAGTCAGTACCTCAAGGCTACTTGATCTTCTTCACATGGATCTATGTGGACCTATAAGGGTGCCAAACAGATAAGGAAAGAAATACATCTTCGTTATAGTTGACGACTACTCCAAATTCACTTGGACTCTGTTTCTTAGAACCAAGGATCAAACCTTTGAAGTGTTTGTTGCCTTCGTCAAAAAGATTCAAGTGAAGATGGGTAATAATGTAGCTTGCATCAGATTTGATC